CCACCTGTCCTAATCAACAAAGTTTTAATACTTAATCATAAAAAATGAAATAATGTAACACACAACATATATTTCAGTTAGGCAGTAAGACGTTACTTAATTGACACTGTACACTGTAGCAATATATTTTATTGACTTCTTGCGGATTAAGCTGTCTGAAAGTTAACAAAAAACTCTTGAGACAAACCTCCAACGTGCTTTTAATATGGCATTCTGTTCTTTTCTTAATGATGTACATAATAAAATATTATTTGAAATAATTTCAATACAGATTTTGTAAAACCAAATTACAGCTTAACTAAACTAAACAACTTGTTGCTTTAATTTAGGCTATCGCTATGATAACTAACATTTAAAATGTCTTAATGCCTTATCAATGGCGGGTTTAGTTGCTTATATTCAGAGTAAGTAGCAGTTATTTATCTAATAAGAATTTTTCACGCTCAATTTTAACAAATGTTTTGTCTAATAAGATCTAGCAGAATAAAAAGGTCAAAGAATAATTATACAAGAAATAATGTGTTATTTTTCATTGACATAATTATTTCAAAACGACTGTCATTAAAAGAATGAAGTACTTTTTAAACATCATTCTTATAAATGATAATACAATACATTCCAAATCGAAACTTTCCTGAAATTCAAAATAATGAGACCCTACAATAAATTCAATATATCATGCAAAACTACATTTGAAACAAACACACATATTGCCGATATCTACATATGTACGCTTCTGGCATTGTAATGTAAAACAGCTGTCAAAGATTAAAACAAATAAACAAATAAATCGGCCTTTATGCGAATAGGTGTTTAAAGTGTTTAAGAGTTCAAAAACATTTCAATCAATTTTCGAGAAAAATGTTCTAAATACCCACATTTTGACTTTAATCAGAAAAGTATGAGACAGTTTAAACATGTTAACAGCTGCTTTGGATTATAAATAGAGCGTTCTGGGGTTTTTTTCCTGAGTTTCAGACAAGTTAGAAATCATTGTAAAACAAAAATGATTTAACGAACATACGAGATAACGTCAGACACGTTTCTGTCAAAGGTTAGTCTTTTAGGCTAAGGAAAGTATTAAAAATATAAATTCAAATCCTAAAGGTTTAAATAAAGAGTGTAAATGCATAAGATATATTAATGTGATAGCAATATCAATGAAAAACATAAAAAGTATATATTTAACTTCATTCTTTTTTTTTCAATAATCAAGCAATTTATCACTATAAGGTATATTAAGACATATTTAAACATAAATGAGAAAAGTTCTAACAAGTTTAATATCAGCGATATATCACTCTTATCACAAGCAGAATCAGATAGCGTTTACTCTGGAAAAAAAAGAGATCAATTAACAGGTTTGCAATAAGATGTGGAGTCATCACTTTCTAGTGTTAAAATAAATTTAATTAGCTAGCCATCACAATCTTATGTTTATCAATATCTCATCTGCATACCTAATTGTTTTGTTGAAATTATTTATATATTGACTGTTATCTTGTATTGAATAAATAGATAAAATTCAAGTTTTTTTCCATCAATACAGGATTTATTTTCATTGAGTGATATGAAAATAAATATTATATGAGTGGTATGAGTTACAACTGAAATATGATAATTTTCATACTTTTAATTTATATAAAAAATTGAATTATCTGTTTAAAGTATACTTTCTTTTTCTTTTTGACCTTACGATTCGAAAGACTTATCCTTCATAATATTTCATACTGGCTGAAATAACTAAAAAAGTAGTCCGACAAGAGACCCCGTGGAAATCAATGGATACAAATTTTAAGGCAAATTCAGATGTAGTCATTGTTTATTTTAATGAGAGATTATGTTAAAAAGATTATTACATATGTTGTACATTTTATGATACGCGTAATGCAAATAATTGTCTCGAATTTTGTTTGGAATACGATGCATAATATACCGTGAAGAACCTGACAAGCACAAATATCAATGCATTTCTAAATTATAGACGGTTACTTATAGATGTATGTGCACTGCATTTTGTTCTTTAAGCAAACTTTCTCTATTTAAATGCCATTACTATGAAAAAATACATAGCTTGTTAAGCCGTCATTAGAATTTAATTTAAATGTTAAAAGTAAACAGTAAAGTAGCATTAATTTCTGTATGATTTACAGTTAATCCTAACTTTTATAGGTAATAATATTCTGCCTGTTATTGATCACTTGTGACAATATCAAATTTTGTATGATAGTTTTTTCTTCAATATTGCCTATTAACTGCTCAGTTCAACGAATTAACTTATTGTCCTTTTTGATAATTGTTATATTTGGTTCTAGCTATTTGTATGCTTTATTAATTGATTTAGTACATATATTTAGGATGATATTACTATATACAATACATAAAGTCATAAACTTACATACATGTACAATACTTAGTTATATTTACTTTATTACATATAAGTGTCGATCATAAATATACATACAATGCTTCCTCATATAATTACATACACTACTTGATCATATCAGTACATATTAAACAAGTATATTAAATAATTTCATAAATACTTGATTAGAGAATTGCACTAGATAACGTGGTTTTACAATTACATTCAAAACTTGATTATAGAATTCTAAACAATAATACATTCCGAATTGCATAAAATACAATACTGCTTTTCATAACTACATAATATACTATTTATACAACTACATACAATACTTGACTGAACTTTTGTAATGAGCTTTGTTTTAAAATCCTTTCTGTTAAATGCATGAATAACATTTTACGCGATTGTATAATCACATTGACAAAATGACAAAGCCTAAGAGAAAAAAATCCTTTTTAATGAGTTTGAACAGTTACCAGCTGCGACACATTTACTGTAAAAATACTCTAAACAACTTGGGCTTAATGAACACATATCACCATTAAATCATTAAAGCAAAACTAATGAAACACATACGAATCAGAAGTTGAAAAATTGTGACATTCACTTATTTTGGTGGCGTGTGCTTTGATTAGGTATGATAACTGGACAGGTTGTACCTATTCTTATAAAATACCGATTATTTGGTAATTTTCGGTAACAGTTTTTGTGGCTTTTGTTTGTTTGGATTTTACGGCACACCAACACAATCCAGGTCATATAGCGCCAAAAATGGAAAGATGAGTTTGGCTAATCTCGGGTGGCACGATCCCAAAGAAACAAAGGGGTCAAAACCACCAAACCTGCTAGAGCTAAGAGGTGCACATTCTGTAGTAATTCGAACCGATTTGAGTCCCCTCTTACCATCACGCAGCTGCAATTCTTATGTCTAAACCCTAAAAGGCAATTCCTTAGCCACAAAGGGGAATTTGGTGATACAGCACCATCCAAATGTACTACTATAATGTTGTCGAAAAACTATTGTTACACTTTTTACATAACCTTACGAAACTAAATATCACGCGTTTGTCAACAACAATATTCAAAGTAAATATAAATATATCATCAGCTTAAGGCGCATGCTACAATTAAATGAAGACACATAAGCAAAATGAAAACTATATAATAGCATGTATTTGAACTTAGCATGATGCAAAGTATGCTTACCATAATATTTAGGGGAAAAGGAATTTGTGGTCACCGACCTACTTTTCTGTTCTAATTCAAGGACAAAGCAAGGCTTTATTTTTTTTCTATTGTGCATGAAGCTGAATTTATTGACATGTGCGTGTGCAAAATTTGAAGATTTAGTTAAGATGAGTGTGTTGTTTTATTTTTCTTTTCTTGGTATAATGACCAAATGATAAATACGAAACCAATAGTTAAATAAGGTTTGGCATACTTATAATGTTATCTGCCCTTGAAATATTTTATATTACTTAAAATTAATAAATTGTAAGGCCAGATAACTCGAAAACAAGAGCGGTGACCCAAGACCTTCGCTTCAAACATTTCTGCTTATATATTTTATGACATTGCAAAGTTAAGATGAATTTTGTTACACAGTTTTTATTCTGCAGATATGACGATATGTAATTGCATCATATGAAAAAAATATATAAAACATATTAAATTCAAATTGGTCTTTTATTATTTGAAACGTTTTCAGATCAATTTTAAAATCAACAACTTAAAACAAATTGACGATTATAGTACATGTATTCAAATGTCAAGTTACTGGAAAATAGAAATTTATTAAGTTTGTTATTGGAAAACAGTTTTCAACGAATAAATCAAATATTATAATAAAATAACAATACATTTAAACCAAATAGTTAACGTAATGTTAAATATAAAATAATCAAACTAATTGTAAATAGCATGCATACGTAAACCTACCAAATCGATGTGAAGGCCACTGTCGGCTTGCATTTGTTGACACTTTATGCATAACAGAACAGCCATTTTGATTTTTAAAAATCTATAAACGATCCACCGAAATACAGAATCTTACTTAATATCTCTTATCAACAATGTAAACGTATCCGTCTAAACTTATTTTTATCCAATTTGAAATGAGTACAGGTAGTGTTTTAAAATTTTGATGTTTGAAAGAATTTAAATCCCTTTTTAACTCTGAAAAACAACATACTTTTTTCAAACGATATACAAGAATACTACAAGTACTTAAAATTGAGCCTGTAAGTCATAAACAAATACATTTGTTGGTATTTCAAAAACGTGAAACAATGTGAACAGAGAAATATTGAGATGATGTGAATAGTATTTCAATTGAAAAATCGACGAAGTGACCATGGAAACTAGCTTTTATGTAAATATTTAACAGAAATATACATAATTTGCCCATTAGATAAAGGCTCTAGAGGTCATGAGAATTATTGGATTGAAATATTCCGTGACAATATTCCTTCATCTTTTAATTCATTTTAGGATAAACAATTGACATTGAATAATACCACTTTGTTGATTGAACATCTATTCATAGTTAAATGAAAATAAATAAGAAATTTTATATTGTTTAGACAATAGTATCAAAACTTGGATTTACATCTTTGTTCTAACTTCTAGTAAAAACCCGCTTAACGACCACCCCGTTTTCGAGACCACCCCGCTAATGAGAACGATTTTTTAAGACCCAACTTTTTTATTCTTTATTTCATTGGTCGCAAACCCCGATTTTGAGACCACCCCGTTATTCCGTAATACGACCAGTAAATCCAGTCCCGTTTCGTAAATTACGTACATTTTGAAACCCATAAATACGACCGCGGGCACTTTCTCACCTTGATATTGATGTGCATTGTATATTGCTGAAATCCTTTTGACACGTGATGTAAACAACGGTTGTCCTAGTTTTACGACATTTAACGACATCCAATTTATGGCAGAGGTCACGGATCCGGAAATAATCAATAATTGCCGATGATTTCTTAATTTCACACCTTTAATGTTATAATTGTAGGATTAAAATAACAAAATATTGAACAGAAAACTTTCGGTAAGTTTTTTAGAGGTGTTGTCGCTATCATTATCTCATTTCTTTCATAATTTTAAACAAACATAAACGTGATGCAATTATGTTTTTGAAGTTGTTATCGGCGATGAAAACTGTGAAAATAATTAAAGGTTAATTGGTCGGTTTCTTTTGTAGTCAATTGGCGATTTTCACCACTCTTTAATTGAGTAAGTTGTGTCATTCTTTTAACTAGAATATAAAAAATCAGTTTGTTTAAAGACATTCACAATACATTTTGTATCTTTAGTGTAGTTTAAAAAATACATAAAGTCTATTTGAGCTGCACATTGAAATAATGAGTGAGAAACGTAAAGAACTTTGTCTTAAAGAAAAAAATGATTTGATAAATGAAAGTGCAGGCAAAAGCCAAAGGCAACTTGCTGAAAAATATGGAATTGGAAAGACACAGGTAAAATAAATTCTGTGGTCTATGCAAAATGTCTCTCTTAGTGAAATTATGCAAATGTATGAAATATTCCAAACTTGTTTATGACTGTAAACACTAATTATTTTTGTTTTTCTTCTTTCAGGTTCATTCCATTCTCAAGAGAAAAGCAGAATTGATGGACGGATATGAACAAAACATGGCCAGTGACAGAAAACGAATTTGTAAACGGTCACCAGTTGAAGAAATCAACATGATGAAACGCTTAATGTAGATTCTGTGTCTAAAAGTGTATCTGTTCTTGATGCTTTTCAGTGGATAGCTAGTTCAGTTAAGGAAGTGAAAGCTGAAACAGTTACAAAGTGTTTCAATAAAGCAGGAATAATTTCTCCCGTTACTGCTGATAACTGTGATGAAAGTGACGATGATGATGACAATACACCAATAGCAGAATTAGTGGAACTTATGAGAACAGCTGAGAAGAAAATGAACATTGACAGTGCTATGAATGCTATGGAATATATAAACATTGACTCTGATGTGCCAGTGAATGATATTGAGGAGAACTGGGAAATGAACATTATGGAATCAGTTAAAGATAAGGATTCAGATGTGGTCAGTGTATGTGATGATGATAAAAATGATGATGATGATGATGATGATGATGATGAGAACTGTGACTGTGTTCAACCACTCCTGATAAATTCCCATCAGGATGCTCTCAAATGGCTAGACCAGTTAAAACTGTATTGTCTGAGTAAAGACATGAGTGATCTGTCCCAGGATTTGGGGAGAATAGAAGATGAAATGGAAAGACAGTCTGTTAAAATAAGATCTTCAAGTAAGCAGTCAACTCTTGATGCATTTTTTAAGTGAAATATATCTGGAAAATATGAAAGTCTGAAAATCATTTATGTTTCATAAGAACAAAAAGGAAACTGACTTTAATATGTGACACTTGTTATTTGGTCTGAGTCTTTGTCTGAGTCATACAAATATTGATATGTAGAGACTTGTTTTATGCATTTACTTTCGTTACAAAATGACTGTTACATTATGTGCTTATTTTGATAATGTGCTTTTGTTATGAAATGATTCAATATGATTTGTAATGTCAAATAAAAGTTTCTGTTATAATGTTTAATAATGTTCAAAAATAAAAGAAAATAAAAGTGTATGCATTATGTCTTCTCATTTGAAATAGGTTAACCTAGAAATAAACATGTACAGTACATGTTATCCTTTAATGCATTGCCTGGTTTTCAGTTTGACCAAACTCATTAAAGAGACCAACCCGCTATTAAGACCAGATTTGCAAAGTCCCTTCAGTGGTCTCATTAGCGAGTTTTTACTGTACACAAGTTCAATAAACAAGTGCTGTGCGGCGGTTTATTTATTTATTGCTCTTACTTGTTGTTATATTATTCTTGTCTTTCGCGACCATTGATTCCAATGCTATTATTGTTGAGGACTGAATACCCTGAAGCCGGTGCTTATGCGTGAGATATCTTGCACTTTGAACTGTCTCTAAAAACAGACGTAATAAAGCCGAGTGTGCAAGAGTCAGTTTCTTTAGTATGTTTTCGTTACTCTTGGGATATTCCCCTATTCCAAAATGTTCAAAAGCAAAGGAATACTACAGCACAAAGGAAACAGAACACTGTTATAATTAAATTCTATACATTACATCAGTTAGCTTATGTTAAAATTACGAATACATTCATGAACCTTTTTTTGTTAGTAGGTGTTATCTGTTTAATATACAATGCAAATCTTTATAACTCATTTACTCTATCAAAAGGATTTTAAGATTGAAATGAAACCCTAAAGATATAATTTCTTGATTTCAATTTAGAACATACATCGTTTAAATGGAATATTTAAGATTAACAAAGCACCGTACGAACATTTTCAATTCAAATATTTAATACGACTGATATCATTTTGTATGTGTCACTAACTGTTACAGCTTGTTTAATCTATTTTTCTCAGAGATTAAAGATTGGTTTTCATGTCATTGAAGGTTCATGCCAATTTGTCACATATAAATACCTATTTCTACGTCAAGCGCACCGTTTCTATCAATGAGTTGTAAAAAGGAAATTTGTATAAAAGAAGATATGTTGCCAAATCGATATACAAAATGTAACATTGTAAGCAGCATACTTTATCGAGTGAATTACTATTTGACATTTGGGTGAACCAACTCTATATCAAACAAACTGCTAAAGTCTAATAGCAATATATCACTATATTATGTTCAAAAGCATAGGACACAAAATGAGTTGTTTTAAAATATGGCTATTTGATTGAGCGAGACATACTAATTTAAGTTTTTACTTTTTAGAACCCCTATTGTATTTCTCCGGTTATATACCCCTTTTCTAGGAATATAGGGATCGGGGTCATTCCTTCAGTCCTTCATAATTTACATAAATTATATTAATCTTTCACATTAACATGATCCAGATAATTTCTTTTCTGAATAAAGTATGAAGTTTAAAACATATGGCGATTGTAACATGAGATTACAGATAAATGAACAACAAAATCGAAACTATCACAAATACATGTAGAACGAATAAACATGACAAAAGACAATATTTCTAAAATATCATGTTTCTGTATTCGTAATTATGTAACAAAAATATTGTATGTATACATTTTACAAGACTACTATTGCATGTGTACAGAGATAAAACTTATATGATATCATTAGGTATTCATTCTTTATTACAATTTGGCGTGCATCTGAAAAACAACTGTCCTAATTCCTTACAAATGATTAATGTTTTGCTTCAAAACTGATTAATGTTTTGCTTCAAAACTGACATGAACAGCCATATTGGTTTAAAAGTAATAAAATCATCTGTTCATTGAACCTATACTTACATTGTTACTTGTGATTAGATAGCAGCGCAACGAGAATAAATCATTTATTCTAACGATTTTTACCAAACTTTTTTGGCCTTTTAGAAATGCGAATGAAAGTTATGGAATAATCTGTTCATCAAACCTATAATATTTCTGCTATATCTCATTCGTTAAATGTATTGAGTATATCTGTGCGCTTTTCCCGCAAAAGTTTTGCTTTAGAGAAATTCGAATGAGATTTTGGCATAATGAAACACTTGGCGGTATTTTCTTTAATTGTATAATAAAGCAAAGACTTAGAACAATGAAAGAAATAAACAATAGTCCGGTTTGAGCCGGGTGATGCTCCCCGAATAGGTTTTGGACACAGAAAGTACACCTCTTGTATTTTCAGAGTTATGTCCCTGGAAAAAGTTCAAAGTGCAATAATTCCAAAATTAGCCAAGGCAGTGTTACGGTTCTTTGCACTGCACTTCTAATCAATGTGATCTATCAACCTACAAAGTTTCTTGATGATATATCTTATGATTTCCGAGTTATGTCCCGGACAATTTCAAAAAGTAAAAATAAACAAAGGGCAATAACTCCAGAATTAGGCAAGGCAGAGTTATGATTCTTGTGCACTGCACATCTACCTATTGAGATTTATCTACCTACAAAGTTTCATGTTGATATATCTTATAGTTTTACAGCTATGTCCTGGACAAGATTTTTCTAAAAGGGGAGATTATTCAAAAATGAGGCTTAACAGAGTTATGTTTCTTTTGCACTGCACCTCTACTCAATGAGATCTATCTACTTACAATGTTTCATCTTGATATCTCTTATAGTTTTAGAGTTATGTTCCGGACAAAGTTCAAAGTGTTAAAAATAAACAAAGGGCAATAACTCCAAAATTAGGACAAAAAGAGTTATTGTTTTTATGCACTGCACATCTACCTATTGAGATCTATTCACCTACAAAGTTTCATGTTGATATCTCTTATAGTTTTAGAGTTATGCCCCGGACAATATTTTTCTATAAGGGGAGATAATTCAAAAACCGTTCAAAATAGAGTTATGATTCTTTGACACTGCACTCCCCCTCAATGCCCTCTACCACTGTATGAAGTTTCAACAAATTATCTCCAAGGGTTTTCAAGTTATGCTCCGGACAAGACAACGGACGGACAGACGGAATGACGGACAGACGGACAAGGCGCCGACTATATGCTCCCCCGAAATTTTTCGGGGAGCATAAAAAGGAAGCATCAGGAAATTACACACGACAACTATTATCGATCAATAATCAACTTTCATGATGATTTTGTTTTTCAATAAAAAAGTTTCAATTACAGATTAAAATTTTTTTAATAAACAAAGTCTTTATATATTTGTCACTAGTACAATTAATTTTCATATTTCTAATTCTAACACTATCGGATTTTTTTCTATATAAACAAAGAAAGCCCGAAGCGTGCATTATTCTACAACAATGCACTCGCCGATCTTATTATTTCCCTACATTAAAACAATTTTTTGTCGAATTTTGTTTTCAAAGCTATCTAGAACGAAAGAATGTGGTCTAACTAAGAAAATGAATCCGAACACCAATATCTTTAATTCAGTCGTTAACGCTGTACAGACGTTTAAAGTGTTGTTTACGTGACGTCACAATGTAGCGCCAAACAGCACGTGCAAAACAATCAAATCAAGTACGCTATTTTAATGTCGCAAACGAGTTAAGTTTTACATTTATTTCACTTTTAATAATTTGTATTTCGCTTGAAAAATTGTAGAGTGACATAAAATAAACAAACAAAGTTTTACCAACGTTGTCAAAATTCGTTATTATCAAAATGTTTCTACACACGGTAGATTTAACGACAGTTTTTTTTCAACCCACTGGAACAGCCTTTAAAGAACGTTTCTATGGGAAACTCTCAGTCGAAAAGAAATTTAACCACCAAACATAAAGTCCAACTTTGTAATAATAATTATGTTTTTTCTTGACGTGTTAGAATGGAAATAGATATTAATTCGTCGTGCATTATTGTATAATAATGCACGCTTTTCGTTCAAATGCTTTGTAATTAATCACTCAGGCCTATCGGCCTTCGTGATTATATTACTACGCATTTGAACTCAAACCGTGCATTATTCTACAACAATGCACTCAGAATTGATATCTATTTCCTAATTAACATGACTCTGGTTGGTCGATACTATTTGGTAAACAACCTTGTTTCAATTATATGTATATTGTTAGCAAAATATATTGGCCATATTAAGAACATAATATATATTTGTTGGATGAAAAGTTAGATAATTAATTGCATTTTCGGGAGTGCACCGACACAGCTTAGGTCATATGGCGCCGAAACAGGAAAGAAGATAATGGATTAACTTCGGATGTTACAAACTGCACTCATTTTTTGCTTATTTCAGTTTTGATTTTTTTTATACATTCTGAATTAAATGAATAATTTATAAATGAATAAAGAATTTGCACCCTCATCTATATGGAAATAATTGTATGGTAAAAATAAGCAGTATATACTTACTAGGCTTATATGAACCGTACCTTCCCTTATCAATCTTGGAAACATTGTTTTAGTTAACAGATAAAGCATCAATGACCGCTGTCACAATGAACTTAATTACTTCTACGTTCTACTTTCAACTGCATAATTATATGAACTGTTGACTGACATCGCATCACTATTTAACCGCCACATAATTAATGTTTGTGAAAATATATCCATATTACGTGTCGGTGAAGTATGCTTAAATGTAAAATATATAAGGTATATCAAATAAAAAACCAAAACATAATTTTCTAAGGTATTTCCTAAACACAATTCGAGGGGTGAAAGCGAAAAGGTTCTAAGTGCATTTTCCAAAATTTTACAGGAGAAGCAAAAAACTGTCTCAAATGTTTGTAAAATAGCAACAATCCACAACACTTTGATGTTACACATAGAAATGTTTAAGAAACATGTCAATGATAATAAAAATTCTTGGAAAGACTTTACAAAGATATATAATCAAATGTAACTTAGAACTGCTTCGCACTTAAAATTTCTTATATTTTGAATTTTTTGTTCAAAGCGAAAAGGTTCCAAGTGACATTTTGATAGAACAAAAGCATATTTTTTTTCTTATTTAATTTAAGATTGAGCAACATTTTGTCATTTCTAATTATTCAGTAAAAGATGGAGTATAAATTGCCAGATAGGACTGTTTCGCATTTACTTTTTATTTTGATTTCATATTTTAAGTGTGACACATTCTCTTACTCCATTTTCAAGATCATGAAATTTTAAGTTTGACTTTGTTTAAATTAGAAACATAAATATAGGTCATAATTGGTAGTGTACAAATCTTTTAAAGAACATCATGGACATTAATTACACCTGTTTAAAAAAACAAAAACAAGTGCCAATTAATTTGAAAATCATTTTTAGCTGAACTATACGACGTATATTGAGAGCTGTC